AATTGTGCTTATATACATGTTCTTTTTATATTTTAAGAGATTTTTTGAAAGGTTACATATACACAAATAATGTGTAGCAAAGATTAGTGGTGTATGAAGTCTAAAATACTTGCTATCTGGCTCTTTACAGACAATTGGTGCTGATTCTACTAATTATAATGTTCATATTTGACATATCCATATATATTTTCTTCTGCTTGCCAAGTTAAAAAAATAAGTTTTTTTTTTCAGTTTCCCCAAATGGGCGAGTTTTATGGTTTTTAATAAAGTTTTGAGTTGCATCTCTTAGCAAGTTGAGTTGTAGTCACCCTTATCCTTGAATTGTATTTCTTCTGATTTTAATATTTTCAGCCTTTTACGTTGCATAAAACATATATTACTAGAGCACATAATTTAGTAAAATCTGAAAGCATTTGTCTTTGACTAAATTAGTTCGATTCATTCACATTTGTCATGTACATATTTGCTCTTTCCTCAATCATTTCAGTTTATCATCCTAGTGTTTAAAATTTATTTTCTCACTTTGACCATCTGCAGTGAATGCTTTGATTTACTTAATCCTCTGCTAATTTACAAAGCACATGGCCCGGGGTAACACAATTAGAAATTACGAATGTCCATGCAACTATCTGAAGCAACGACATAAGGATGAAACAATCTATTCAAGACATCCTTGCAAATGAGACATGGAATGGCCATAGCACCTATAAATTGGGTCAATGTCTGTACAAAGCATTTATACAAATCAGTTTATTTTGTTCTCACAATTGTCCTATGAGTAGGTTCACATACAGATGAGAGTTTATGGGTCTTAAGTGAGTTGTTTTCGGTTCCAGTGAAAGCAAGACGTGCATCTGGCTGACGATGCATCAGCCTCTGCACTGTACACCAGGCTCTTGCTGAGAAGGGTAGTCTGTCCCAAAGAGCTCAGAGGCATATCTTCAATTCCTGCCATCTTTTCTCACAAACTGTTCACCCCAAGAAGAGCTGTAGGAGAGCAGGACAGCAGATCCAACACTGACATTAAATAATGAACTGAAGATTCCTTAGAGGTATTGACTAAAATCACAAAATCCCAAGAAAGGTTAAATAGAAGCTAGGTTGGAGCTAGAACAAAGTTATTCTAAACTCCCAACTGACAACTGTCCTCTAAACTCTAAGTTCATCCTACGTCCCTATGTGGCCTCAACTGTCTTTTTGGCCTATTTTCATTTCGGTTTAAGGCAATCAGATTTGCAGGGTATACCTACATCCAAGGTCTCTGCTTCTTGGTTTGTTATTTGTTTTATAATGTATGGTTTTCCTGTCTGTCTCTTTTAGTCCATAGCTTTCTCAGTAATTATATGTGCCTTTAAAAAGTAAACAGCGAGTGGTCTCGATTCACGCGAAGCCAAACAGTTTATAAACGTTCTCATCTGAGTTTCCCTTTGAAAGCTTTAAATGCTAAGAAATAAGTACTGTGAACATATAGTTTGGATTTTGTCATAAAGTCAACCCAAAAGATGAAAGGACAAATTATATCATTTATATTCTTTGTCATTTTCTTGAATCATACATAGCTTTTCAAACAGCCTACACTCTGCATTGATCCATGAAGATCCTTCAGTGGGATGGAAGAAATGGCACCTGAGAGGTTCTGACTCACAATATTGCTCACAGCAGTAGGCTGGTATGACCCAGCAGGGGTGGAAATGCAAGGGCTTGGCTACCCAGCAAAAGGAGCACCCAGGTTCTTGATGCATGCTCAGCCCAAGAAGTTTGTATCCAGCCAGATTTTTCAGACTTCTCGGCCTTTGTGTAAGTAGCCATAGAGGCCCAGCTGGTAGTCTTCAAATCCAGTCTCTGTCTTCCCCCATCTCACACCTCTCTTCCTCTCTCCATCCCTCTTTCCCTTTCTATGCCTCTGCCCTGATGACAGTGAATATTTGAATATTTTAAGATTATCTATGCAAAAGAGTATGAAACTTCACACCACACACAGTAGCTACAAATGACCCCTATTTTAAGAGACAGAAAAGCCTGATGGGGAAAGAGGAAGAAATCCAGTCTGCTCTCCTTGAGTCCTTGCTCTGTCACTTATTAGATGTGAAATTTTCAGGGTCTCATTTTCTGCATGTGTGAGGGGTTAGTAATATTATTTTCTTTACAGGGTTTTTATAAAGGTTGAAGAAATTGGTGTATATAAACTACTTCATTCCGTAAAACAATGAACATTTAGTACAATTCAGCCATAACTTTATCTTTATTATCTTTTATTTTGCTTCTGCAACTCCACATTCTCCTCCTCCTGTCCATCTCTCCTGCCCAGTTTTCTGAGTTAAATAATTGTTTATATTGTCTATTAAGTTGCTTCATATCCTTTGGGAAACATGGTTGTAAAAATCTGTTCTTATGATGAGTAAATACATGGAGGAAAACTTGGGGGATTTTATGTGTGAAATTATTCAAGCAAGAATTTTCAAATTTTGTTTAGGTAAGCTCATCCGATCTTTAATATTCTGATCTGAACTCTCTGGTCTCCTGGACACTTCTGGAAAAAGGGAATGCGGCGCACTAAATTCTACTTCCCAGGGCATTGCTCTTGACTCTGGCTCTCCAGCTGCTGGCCTTTGTCTTTGGCCCTGTGGATTTACCTACTCACATCTCCATCTCTGAGTAACCCGGGACACTCTCCCGTTGCGCAGCAGAGAACCAGGCAATCAGCACTCATCCAGGAGGGTGATGTATAGAGGAAAGGCCCTATCATTGGCCCTCCCCTCTGCTTTGTATCGCTACCCCCGGAATCCTCCCCTCCTCTGAGCTTCCCAGTGGCTTTAATACAGAACACAATTTGAGGAAAGACAAATGATTCTCCCTTTTAGATTTGACTAGATCAGTAAGTGGCTGCAATCGCTTAATATACAAGCATCACTTGCAAGTAACTCTACAGAGTAATAGTCCAGATTAATTAAAGTTTAAAATACATTTGAATTTACATCTTGCTTGCTTCCACAAAGGGTTCAAGGAATTGAGAAAATTAGTACGATAAAGCTTTGGAAAATAGTGGGGACTGTGATTAGTATCATCCCAGGCATGAAGTACTACGGATATGTGAGATTTAATGCTGTAGAAATGAGCCAGAGGGCTCAGGGTTTGCCTCTAGAGCTGGACTTTTCTCTTGCTGAGAGAATTTTATTTTTAACTTTTTATTGATACATGTTTGCAGTACTTGGATTGTGGAGAGTTGACATATGTACACAACACATTTTAATTCTTCTTTTTTTATGAACGTTCTCTTCCCTTGGTCCTCTCTCCCTCTTCTTTGCCTACTTATGCAAAAGACCTATCTTACATTTGCCTATTATCTATCTTTTATTTTGCTTTTCATTATAGTTTGGGTTCCTTACATAAAGGAAACCATGCAATAGTTAAGCTTGTGTGTCTGATTTATTTCATTTAACATTATGGTCTCAAGGTGCTTTCATTTTCCTATAAATGACTCTAATTTATGACTTTAAGAAAATCATTAGTCTTTATACTTCCCCAAATATCTTTTCTACAAAATTAAAAGACATCATGAGAAACTCTTCTCTCTGTGATTTGACCCTTATAAACTACGTATCATAATTTAGTCATATAGTTGTTAAGTTGATTGACATTTTTTAAAGAAACACTTGAAACTTTTTCTGAGCACCTTAACCCTCCTTCCCTTAATTTCTAACTCTGTAACAGCTTTCACTCTAAGAATAGAACATGGCATTAAAATGAGCTATATATTTTTGCATTTATACAGAAAAATTCCTCAAGTGGCTTTATTTGCTTGCATAGCTAGACATTTAGCTGTTTAATTTCAATGCAATAATTCATCTGTCTTATTCACCTATGAGACAGTGCGTATCTGATTTTTTAATTACAGTCATAAGAGACACTGTTACCAGTGAGCTCTGCTTCCTACTGGGAGGCCATGTTCATTTTGCTTGCAAGATTATACATGAACAAAGGCAACTGAAATAAGTAAAAATCAGAGTCTCTAAAAATAGACATAGGTATAGTTCTTTTCACTTGCCTTTAATCCACCCAGTCGCAATTCTTTTTACAGGTATTAAATCAGTATAGTATTTGATCCTTAGAAGAGGTTCGCAACTTGGTTCTCTCTCAAAACTATTGTCAGGAGAAAATACCAGGGCTACCTGAAGGTTGCAGAGTACTCAAAAGCATATATTGCTCCTTCTCCTCTTGTAACTGCCATTTGTTAACTTCCCAATTAATTCTTCACACCCGCCCTCCTCCCACCTACACACCCTTGCATACGATCTGTCTTAGTCATTTGTCACTATCTACTAGAAGCAGTATAGTAGCACCTTGATTAGCATTCTCAGTAATTATTTCACAGATCCTTAGTGAAATGTACTTATTTTCTTCCACTAAATTTTCAGGTTGCTTAAGGTCAAGCCCACTTCAGTCCAACTGGAGCTGCTCAATAAACGCCTTATCCTAAGATGCTGAAAAAACCTTCTGCTTCATCAAAGTCTGGTTTAATTTCTCAAGTGACGCTCTACGTGGAAGGCTAGCATAGAAGGAGTTATTGTTTAAAAGGGTAAAAAATCTAGGAAGATTTGCTAATCACTGATCCGGCAGCACAGGAGTTCTGAAATGTAGAAACATCATCCCAGAGGAAAGGTCTAATTCTCAAGTTAAAAAAGAAAATGCCAAAAGAGATTCGATAGAAACTAAATTTTCTAAGGGGTTCCAGTTTCTACTCTTCAACATATAGGATCACTAAAATATACAAATAAATGTGTGAACACACACACACACACACACACACACACACACACACACACACACACATACGTAGCTACATACATGGCTGTAGTGCAGAATAACTCAGAACTCCTGCAAATGTGCCCACTGAGTCTCTCCTTGTTGCTGAGTATACTAAGTAGCAAACATTTTAAACAATGCATGGAAATGATCAAGGAACACATTATTGACCATGTAATAACAATGATAACTGAGAGTTATAATCACTTGCCATTATTGTATTTAATATCATATCAAGACAATGCTCCAAGATACATAATGTTCGTACCTTTATTTTATAAGCAAAGAATCTGAGATATAAAATATTCAAAGCTCTGTTGCCAGAGTCCATGATCCTTAGAACACTGAGAACATATTTCAAATTACTTTCATGAAAACTCTGAAAAACAAATTATTGTTCATATTTTCCAGAAGAGTTACTTACAGGTAGCCATTTGAAACTAATGGATTTTGCCATTCTCACTTTAAAGATCTGGTAGTAAAAGCAAAATAGTAACAAAATACATTTTATATGCAACTAGCAAAGAATAGACTGAGAAAAATATCACATTACAAATTTGGTCTCAATGCCTATACCAAAAGTTTTAAATGAATGTAGTCTTCCCAGACATCAAATACTTGCCTAATATTTTATTAATAAAGTTGTTTTTAAGTAACCATGGGGATAGATTCAGATACCAGAAGATGCCAGCGTACACAGATGTTCAACTCCCTTATATGAAATGGGGTTTGTGTGTAACCTATGCAATTTTCTCATATATTTAAATCAACTCTAGTTTGCTTATAATATCTAACACAGTGTAAATGCTATGTTAATAGGTACCACACTGCATTGGTTAAGGAATAATGATATAAATGTTTGTGTGTGTCCTAAAGATGCAATTTTTCAAGTATATTTGGTTGGATGCAAAGATGGAAAATCCATGGATAAGGAGACCCAGCAATATTGCTGTGTGTCAAATTGTGCTAGTCAGATTTTCCAGGGTTATATCTTGGCTTCCCCTGCATTCATTTCTTTGCCTAATATAGTTGCCAATGATCAGGCAGTACTTTGCTGCCTTGTATGAAGATCTCACAATCAGAAATAACAATTACGATAATTTTTAGAATGATGCCTAGAGCCTACTGCTCATCTTCTGTTATTTACCATCTTGTCGTATTTTACATGCTGACAATTGAAACACAAAAAGTATCAGTCTTTATAAACTTGTATTTACTGTTCACTCATCTCAATAGTTTATAAATTATTGTTTCTGAACAATCTCAAAACCCAATATGACTTGGAGTAGGGAGGCTTCCAATGGAATACTAAGCAGCCTGAGTTATTACACACTATATAGAGAAAAAAAATTCCCTTTCTAAATTCACATGAAGAGTCATTTCTTTTTTACAGAAGTAAAAAGATTTTCAGAAACGTACTTCTTTTGGTGTTTTATGGACGTGTACCACTCAAAAATGAGACCTTATTGGCCCCATTTGCTGAGAAGTGTATTGTTATTCCTTAACTATATGCTCAGAAATCTATGCACATGCCTGAAATCTACTGTCCTTTTAAGACTTCCTTGGACTAAATTTTTTTTTTTGTGATTATAGATGATTACATTAATTCTTGAGAGTTTGGAAAGTTTAAGCAAGAAAAAATAGAGATATCAGAAAGAATAGTTAGAATTTTTTTTAATTTTGTATTGAAAGTTTAATATCAAGTTTCTTCAATGGCAAACAAAGAATTCTGTAAAGATATAGTTACTTTTCTTTTTAACCTGAAGGCCTAAGATAGCCAGGTAAATGGAATTCAAAGAAACACATATTGTTCATGAAAATCAAGGGTTAGCAGGGTGACAGAAATAAGATCATTTCACAAAATAGTTATTTGTGGTTTTGCAAAATCCAGCCACTGCTCTGAGCAGCCAGCAGTCATAATGGAAAGGCCACTGTTCAGACCAACAGCTTGTAGGAAATGCCTACCCCAGTACAGAACTTTGAAATGTTATCGTATTTCAAAGCAGTTATCTTGTTTCATCCTCATAACAACGTTGTGAAATAGAATTCATTATCCCTTTCGTACAGATAAGAACATTGAATTTGAGAGAGGTTAAATGGTTTTCGCAAAACCACAAGACTGATACATGATAACGGAAGAAGAAGTTCTAACTTTTGACTCCTAAACTGATGTCTACTCTGTTATGCTTGGCTGCTTCCTTGTGATGGTGACTATGACTTTTATGATAAAGACAATGTTTATTGAGCTCTTACTGGGTGTAGGATATTGCTCTAAGTGCCTTCCAATCTTTGCTTCGTTTAATAACATGATGTAATAATCCCAGGAAACTTCACCATGCTGCATTTACAAATATATATTTCCCTTTGGCATTGTGCAAAGTTATCACCTTCACGGTTCTGGAATCCAGAGAATTTATGCTACATTATGTGAAATGCTAGACAGAAGCATAGAAGCAGATGGCCGCCCTGAGGCCCAGACAGTAGAAAATGGACCTGATTCGAGAGGAAAAATCAGTATTGTTTCGCATAGTAAAAACAAAACAAAACAAAACAAACAAACAAAAAAAAAAAAAACAGGGTGGTATTGCTTGCCCAACTCAAGCACATTCCAAACAAAGTAAATGAAGAATTTCTCTCATCTTTTCTCCATGTGCTGATATCAGGAATTACAGCAATCTTTTAACTTGATTCTAGATAGACCCTAAGGACTAGTGATAGTCTGTTAACTTAAAATTCCAATTTCAGTTGTTTCTATACATTTATTAAAGAACAATACATTTTATTTTAGCTAAAGATGGTAACATTAATTTTAATAATGGCTAATAGCTTTAAGTATAAAAATGAAACCTACTCCATAAAATATCTGAATTTTTTTTCCAATATTTTTGCCTCTTCTCTGACCTAGGAGTATTTGATAGCTTTTGACATGGAATTATCATTTGCATCAGACAAGTGTCGTGCCTATGTCCCATACTTCCAGCCCATCTTTTCATCAACCACTGTCACAACAACCAGCTTCAAAGTGGTGTAACTTCAGGGTCCCCAGCTCCTCTGCATGCACAGCTCTCAACGGTTCTCTGGGACATTTTGATCACTGCTTGCGATGCTCACGGGAACCTGGCCAGCGTTCACATGGCCTGAGTCTGCAAGAGAACCAATGCTCTTGATCAGTGTGGAAAGGGGTGGATAAAAGCTCTTCTCTTTTATTTCTCAGGGGGAAATTCTGGGGCAAATTCTGTTAGGCTTTTCCAAGGGCCCTAGTGCAAAGGAGTTCCAAATGCCCTTAAGATGGTAAGTCCTTTGCACTGGCTTGAACCCTGCTGTCTCAGTGTTCCTAACACTCTTTTCTGTTTGCTAGTATCACTTTCTAAAAGAAACTGCCTGCACGAGGTCCCCTGGCTCCAGCTCTCCTTTCAGGACTAACTCGTGCAGACTGGTATAATTTGGGTTTTAATTGCCCCCTAAAGGTTTTAAACCATTACAGCTTTGGAGGTGAGAGAAACTTTAAGAGGTGGGATTTGGGGCAGGCTGTGCCCTGTAAGGGAACATTAAAACCCTCTTCCTCTTCCTCTCTTTAACCTTTGGGCCAGTTTTGTCCTGACATACCCTTCTGTCATAACGTGCCGCCTTGCCCAAAGTAAGAGTCAACCCATTTAGGACTGAAACCTTCAAAAATGTGAACCCAAATAATTTATTTCCGCGTAAAAATGGATAATTTCAGATATTTGTTATAATAATGGAATGTTGGCTAACACAGATCCTGACAAAGGGGTACTGGATGGTGATCTCTTCCTAAATGGTGTTAAGGGCCACTTTGCTGGTATATGGCTAGTGGTGATATTTCTGACTTACAGTAATGACACCATTTCAAAAATTCTCTGGCACCCGAAAAAGAAGAGGTACAGTTTAAACTGTCAAGTCTTGGTCTCTGACATTATGTAGTACTGGATAACTAAAAGGTTAGTAGAGTTGTTTGCTTCCATTAAGTAATTTAAAATTTTTTAAAATGCATGAATAAAATGGCTCAGAGTGACACCAGTCAACTCACAACATGCTGTGGAATCTAAGGCCCTCTGCGGTGGCGTTTTAAACTAATTAATTTTGCAACTTCAAATCAGAGTCTGCTGAAAACCAGGCTGAGGACTTAATGATAAGGATTGCAGAACAAAAAAGTGAGTTCTCACTAGGATGAGAGTTCTCTCTATGGGAAAACCAGGCTTGAGAGAAAAAAAAAAAAAAAAAAAAAAAAAGAGTGGAATCAACCTCAGGACCAAAGATGAAGACTCTTGCTTGAACGAGTCTAAGAATGTTTACTTCTAAATTAGCTTGTAGGCTCCAGGCCAGCAAAGTGGTCCTCTCCCTCCTGCTACAGCACAGCAGGCTTCTCTTGCCTGGGAGTTTCTAAAGACTTCAGTTGGGCAAGTCATCATCCTTAAGATATCCTGAGAGCTCTCCTTGTTTCTCTTAGGTTACCATGCCGCTCTACCTGAGCAGCAGGTCAGAGAGGAGCTCGCACAGATTCGGGGAAAATTAGAACCCAATACTGTAGGAACTAGGTATACTCAGGGCACACCTGTTTACAATTTATGATGCTGGCACCCTTTTATGCTCCAATTTGTCTTCATTCAGAATGAAGGTGAGTTTCCTGCAGCATGAAGCAGTGGGTGATCATCCACTGAGGTTTCTTCCACAGATTGCGGAGGTCTTTGGAGAATTTACTAGGTATACAGCCATGATAGAAGGAAAGAAATGTATACTCATTTCAAACTTAATGTTTGCCCTAAGCAACTGACAAGAATCATCTCTGGACAATGTATTGAAAAATGTGTGCACAATCCAAGCATGTTTGAAATGCACTGAAAAGTGAAAATATCAACATGATAAACTTTGCAAAAATAACATTTCAAAACCACACATGTATGGGTATATTTGTGCATATGCATAATACATATAATACGTACATTATACATTCTTGCACATACATCTATGGATTGTGTTAATTCTCAGAATATATGCAAATGAAATTAAGGATTATTGTTTTCTTTTTCCTTTTTTTCACTTCTGAGGACTGAATCTAGAGTCTTCACTTTGAGATAAATTGGCAAATTTTTTATTTGCTGTTTTCATTTTTGAGAGTCTCACTAAATCAGCTAGTTGCCCAGGCTGGGCTCAAATTAATAACTTTCCTGCCTCAGCCTCTCAGAAGGCAGGGATTACAGTCATGTTCCACAATGCTTGGCCTATTCTTTTCTTTCTCATTGTTGTTAAAACTTCATTATCTATTTCTTTAATTGAGAAGAAGTAGATGTAGTTTGGGAGAAGGGCTCTGGGTCCAAGGCTGATTTTGGATCTCTGAGAATTTACTAAAAATTAATCAAGAGTATGCAATGCACAAAGACACAGTGAATTAAAATATTTTGGTAGATTATTGTACATACTGTGCTGGTTAATCCTGCATTCCAGCTAGACTGGATCAGCGGAGAGCTGGTGAAGCATTATTTCTGGTTGTATGTGTGTGGTTGCCTCTGGAAAGGAGAGCCCTTGGATCTGTGGAGGGAGTAAAGACAGCAGCCCTCAGGAAGGTGAGTAGAAATCAGGAAACTCACTGAGGATCTGAACAGAACAAACAGGAAGAAGAAATGTGTTTTCTTTTTTGGAGTTTGGACATCCATCCTTTCCTGCCCTCTGTCATATATGCTCTAGATTCCTGGGCACATTCTGCATCCAAGATTGAGAATCAGGACTCAGCCTTTGGGCTCCACTGAGTCACACAATCAGTTCCCTGTAATCCCTTCCCTGATTTGGGCTACTTTTCACTGTAGGAGCCTTTCTGATATTCCCAATTTCAATTTTCTGTAAATCCTGGGACTTCTCAGCTTCCTTCATTCCGGAAATAAATTTCAGTAATAAGCCCCAGTGTTTTCCTCCCAGAGAACCCTCACACATATACTTATCCTGTGATTCAACTGGGAAGACCAAGGTAGCTTGGGTGACTAGATTTCCTAGTTTTCCCACAGTGGCTTCCATTTGTGCTTGTAGTCCTAGCCTAATTTTCAACAGTAGTCCATTTTTCTCCCGGAAGTGTTGATCTAGGCAGTGAATTAGTGATTATTCAACAGCTACAGATCTGAAGACAAATACTATGGCTAAAATCTTACCGTATCCACACGTCAAATAGGTTAATTAAACAGACTTGAGTTTTCCCATCTGTAAACAGAACTAAGATAAGAATATCACCTGGATCCCACAGTTGTTACAAGGATCGTATACACTGCTTAATTAATCAGATACTTGGCACAGTATGGCTCACAGTTATTGCTCAATAAGCTTTAGCCACTTCTTTTTCAACGATGTGGTCTTTTCCTGATTTAGAACAGGTGGTACAGGAGTTCTTCTCCCCGTTCTAAAGCAATATCCCTCAATTACCCCATTCATCCCCTCCATGTGCTGCATCTACTGTCGGTCACCCCTTAGGGAGTCCCCAAGATATTCATAATTGAGCTTTTCCCCTCTTATCGGAGGTGCAGCCATTTGGCTTCCTTTCCAGTTCCTCTTCTAAGCATGTCACTTCTGAAACAAACTCCATCGTTGCCCACTAATTTAAAGCTAAATTTTGAAAATAGCTTATCGTTAGAATTCACAGGAAGTCAGATCCGTCACTCAGGGAGTGCCAAGAAGGAGGATGCTGGAACTCTTCCTAATCTATCTTCTGTTCTCTTCTGAGTGGGCGTTCAAACTTGAACACCCTGCGTCTTGGCCAGAAAGGTTTACCTCTGGAGGGGAGGTTAGCGAAATTGTAGCTGGGAGCAGACGACAGTGTGGAAGTAACATGATGGTCCTGCAGTATCAGAGTTCCTGCGGCGACTGAGATGGCAGTGGAAATGATGCTTTAATTGTCCTCGACACTGTAGCTTAGTTCACGGAGAACAGAAAACTATTATTTAAACAGATGGCAAGCCTGCCCATCCATAACCAGACATTTAATGAGATAAAACAGGGCAGCCAGGGTTGTAGGTGTGTGAGTCCAGGCCGTTTTGGAAGCCATCAATTTAATTGCGCTTCTATTTTTGTAAAATCTGTTCCCAAATGCTTATTTTGCCCTCTATTCTACCTTTCTTCTTTCTCTTTATTTTTGTCTTTCTTGCCTTTCTGGTGTTTGGGGCACTATCAGGCAAATGCTTCTTTTCCTGACTCCCAGTGCTCTTAGTTTTCAATTGGAAATATAATTGGGGCAGCCTCGGGAAGCTCAAAGTATATGGCTTGGATGTCTGAGGGTCCTGGGTGTGAAACTCTGCTCAGCTTTCAGTGTATACTTTCTCTTTCTGGACATTGTCGTTATAATTCAAAGCACATTCTTGAAGTTTGAAAAAGGCAATATGTGAAAAAAAATCTCAAGCTCTTAGGAGGTGCTCAATAAAAAGCAGCACTGCAATTATTATTACAGGCAGCTTTTTAAAAGTGTGTTACATTGAGGGTCCTATGAATCACTCTTCCAATTCATCCCAACCTTTGGGGTAAAAACCAGGATCAAGTTCAAGCAATGATTATTATACAGTAGAGTCAATACTATTTCATTATTGTTTTCTTCTTGGCCCTATGTGAGTTTCTTCTGCACTACTTAAAAGAAGACACAGAACACTCATAGACTGACCCCAATTGGTAAATAAATCCTATATATTCAAGACACTTAGGATCAAGCCTATGAAAGTGGACATACATAAAGACAGAAGGATAAAGAGGTGCAGTAAGCCAGGCATAAGTCATGGCTCTTGTCTTCGGATTCCTCTGATTTGGATGGTGGGCTGCTGCTAAGCTCTGAACTGTAACACGGCCTGCGTTCTAGCAGGAGTGCCTCTGCCTGTCCTCATTAGATTCTCTTCTGAGGAGGCTTCCAGACCATAAACACACCCCCATAGACCAGGCTTGGTATAAGTCACCTTTCACAGAACACTATTACACCAGCTTGGTTTACGAACCAGCATCATTTCAGCAATAGTGAGTACTGTAGATAAAATGTTGACTTTAAAAACCTGTAGTTTTACTAATATTTTAAGAGTTTGGGGAATCATGGCCATTAGCATTCACATTTTTATTTTTTTATGTTTCATTACAGAAAAGAGATTTGCGTATGTCATCTTTCCAATTCCTGATCTCAGGTAAAACACAGCAGTTTATCTACTTAATTTAGTTGTAATCTATGCATGACATTTTCAGGCTAATGCTGATATCTCTGTGAAATGGGACAGTACCTTTCCAAAGGCAGAGAGGAATTTGTAAGGCCTCAGACACCAAGGCAAATGTATTTGGGGACCATGCAGCAACATAAATGGCAAGAGAGAATGGTAAAGTTGGTGAGTAAACAGGTGACAGCAATCATTCTGTAAAGAAATTAAAATTTTAAAAATTAACATAAAAGCTAAATGTCTCTATAGACTGTTTGGTCTAAAGCTTTTATTTGCAAACCCTGCTTAAATAATTCAATATAATGCACACAATCTAGATTTTTATTGCAAAGTATTTCAAGCTTTGTTTACAAAACACAGCATGTGACTTTGTTTTCAAAATTGTGCTAGTTCAGTAATGCTCACTTAACTTTCACAAATACTGCTATTGCTTCTACTCATTTTTTTTTTAATATTGAGGTTCTTACATTGGCTAAAACTCATGGAGTAAAAGGTGTGGCAGGTTGAGAGATAATTAACTGATTATAGATGTTCAAGAACTTGAAATTTATCTGAGAGCATACAGTACATCTCTCAACATGGAATAAACTCATTTTTCAAGTATTAACTCACCAAACATTCAAAGAGAACCTCCGTGTGTGAGACCTAGTATATAAGACAGGACAGTACAATTTTAGATGTGAAGGATTTCTTTGGAATGACCATTTAATGTTACCCTCCATATCTAAACAACAGTATGAACACAGGGTAGGTGGTCAATAGATATTTGCTGAACAACTAAATGGACAGATCATTGACAGTCTAGTCAAGAGAACTGAAGTGGTGAGATTTGCTTTCTATATAACACACAAAACACTTCAGAACTATAATGGGTAGCTATCTTAGCTTCAAATAGACATTCTGAATTCATCAGGCTGCTTCGATTTGGAAAAAGATGCCTCTTTAATAATTCTACCAAGGGTAAGCAGATGGTCAACAACTAATTTGAGTTCATTTTTATTCTTTGAATAATGTAAATGTTTCAACCTATGTCATCAAATTGGCTGTTTGGGCTTAGATTTTCCACTGCTTCCCAGAAAAACCATCTTATTTTTATTCTTGCTAGGCTTTGTTTTTTTTTTTTAATTAGTCTATGTTTATAATATACAATAACTACATTTAATTTGGGGGGAAGAAGTAAATATGCACATCTCATCTTGATCACCTGGATCAAGGTGGCAACTACAATTTGGATGTTCTATCAGTGTGTCCCCAAAAGGTTCATGAGCCAGAAATTTTGTTCCTTCTGTAGTGGTGTTAAGTTAAGAAAACTTTAAGAGGTTGTGCCTAGTGAGAGGCCATTAAGGTCACTGTCCTCCAAGTGATTAAGTAGCTCTATCATGGGACCATGGATATTTCTTGAAAGAGAGTTGTTATCCAATAAAAACAAGCTGATCCCTGTGACTCTCTCTGATTTCCTCTTCCCTGAGTGATTTCACTGTCTCACGTTCATTCCCATCACTGCAATACCGTACACCAGGGAATTCTCATCAGGACTGAAATAATAATGACTCTATGTTTTTTAATCTCCGTAACTACGACTTAACTCAGCTTTTGTGTATAAATTACCAAGTCTCGGGTATTTTGTTACAGAAATGAAAAACAGGCTAATAGAATGGTTACTATTGTATTTATGTGACATATAAAATCATTGATGTACAGAAAGAACTAGCAACTTACATCAAATCACACACAAAGTATCAAGGACTTTGTGGATATCTGCAATTGATTGATTTTATGTTTTGGTTTGGAATCCTGAAATTATGGTTACTCTGTACTTTGATGAGCCTTACTTCACTAGACCCAATTACATGTATAAGAAAAGTATAAATTAAAATACAATTTAAGAGAAAAAAAGCCCAATCGGATTACCACAGTCATCCCCTGGTGTTTACACTCAGAGCACACCGGCCTTATGTTAGTTCTCTCCATTGAAAAAAAAATTGTTTTTGCTACTTTTACACCTGTTGTTCCTTCTGCCTGGAGGGCTGCTCCTTAAAGTATCACCATCCTTCCAATATAAATTAAGTCACCCTCTTACTTTTCCTTAGTGCCCTCTCATTTTTCTTAACAGCATTTTCTGCAGTTTAACTTCGTATTTATCTTTGTGTTCATTTGGTTGATGACAATTTCTCCCCCAAAGCAGGAATCACAGTTGTTTGTGACTTAGTCAGATAAGGGTTCTAAACCAGAATAACACAGACTAGATGGCTGAGATGGAAGACATTTATTTCTCACGGATCTAGAGTTTCAGAAGTCCAAGGTTATCGTACCAACATGACTGGAACTGGGCAGGAACCTCTTCTTGACTTTTTTCCATATGATGGAGAGAAAGCAAGAAACAACTCTCTGGTACATGATAATGGCATTAATTCTATCACAAAAATC